AAAATCTGTGTGTGTGTGTGTGTGTGTGTGTGTGTGTGTGTGTGTGTGTGTGTGTGTAAGAGTGAGAGAGTCGTACAGTCGAGGTTGGTAGTGGATAAAATTCTCCTTTGTAAATTTGAATAGGAATGATTTGAAACCTTTATAGTGACTTGGCCAAGTAAATAAATAGTAGATAGGTAGCAAATAGATAGATCAAATATGAAGGCAAAGGGAAATAATGGGATAAGAGGGAAAGTAAGGGAAGGGAAGTGAAATATCTTCGACAAGGTTTGAGAACTCGTGTTTACTAAGAAAACTTAAAAAATGCAATGATTTCTTCTATTCACTGGATAACCAGGGGGATTAAGGTTGAAATGATTGATTTACTTGGCTTCTCTAGGAACTCATGGGTACAGAGCTTGATTAGAAACTCAGAATGACTAATCTGTGGTTTTCAAAACTCATTTTCCACATCCGAGCCACTCTTGTGGATTGGAAACTCATCATTTCCTTGAACACTGAAGACATGAAAAAATAAATCATCTAGGATCCTATGAAAAGTGCACATTTTCTGTGATTCTCTCTCTCTCTAACACACACACACACACACACACACACACAGAGAGAGGGGGAGAGGGGGAGGGAGAGAGAGAGAGCATTTTCTTAGTCCTTTACCTCAATGGCTATGACTATATAATATTTTAGGACCCTATTTAAGATCTTATTTCTTTAGCACTCTTAGATATTACTCATTGTTAAATATGAAAGGAAACTCCTAGGTTTGTGAACTATGGGAGCTTAAAGATCTGTAGAAATCATCATAAATTATCTGTCTAGTTTAGTCTTTTTTTTTATTAAAACAATTGAGAGCATTGGAACCTGTCTGACTTGGTAATGGACTTTTTCCCCCAAAGAAGAAAAACAAAACAAAATGCTAAGGTTTTTTTTAAAATAGCAGATGCTCTTCAAACCCCTTCCCATGTTAGCTCCATCGATCCCTATAGAGGTATGCCACATTATTGTCATGTCCATGTTTTTAACTAATGAGTAATAAAGGCTCAGGGGAGAAGTAACTTCAGGTTTCATAGATCTTCAATGAGAATGCCCGCATAGGAACTCAGGCAGTGTGAGAACTTAGGACATTGGATGTTTACTGTCTATATGTTCTTTACATAAGAAAGGATCTGCAATATTTCCAATGGCCTTGAAATGTAAAATTGGTGGCCTACTGTTGCAATTAGTAGTCTCATATTTGAGGACCTTTGCAGCATAGGTTACTGGAAAGGAGATGCAGGGGGAATAATGGAGTTTACCAAGATGAAGGTAGAAGTGAAGAATAAGTTGAAGCACATGGGTTGTGGTACTCAGTGATGATCTACAGAATGTGGAGTATGTAACTCAGAAGATGGCTGAGTTTGTAAATTACATTCACAAAGCCCTGCATGGGCAGCATTCAAGAATTGTCACTTTCCATTGTGACATACCTAGAGCTTAAATGCTTCCCAGGTGCTTGTGGTGTTTGTGGATGAGCTATACTCATATATAATTTGTTAAAACTATATGCAAGTTTTTAACAAACACAGAAAACTTCTCCATCCCTTTCTGGGAGTGCTTTTCACGGGATACCTAGTTTTCCTTTTTTGAGAAAGGCAGGATGTTGAGAGATTGGCATGACACTGGGTTGCTTGACTTTTTCAGTTTTCAGAGCTTACATTGCTGTCCTTCACTAGCAAGGCAAGAGCTACACGCTGTCTATGTTTGATTGCCTTTAAGTATAACTGCTGCAAGCCTTCGTAATTATAGTTCCCATTCTCTACATTAACATGAAACTGCTCCCTTAGGGTTTTCAGAGTGATTCACAAATAAATGCATTCGGCTCTAAATAGCTCAAGAACATTATAGAACCCAAAGGTGAAGGATAAAGAATGATTCCTTCCCTCTCAGTATCGAATGCTTAGCAAATAGCAAGGTAGAGGCGTCCCAGCCCTAAATGTCTTGCTTGTCCTAGTCAGAAAAGACAGGCTTAAGCTTATTGAGAGACAGAATATGATGATCTGTTTGTTTATTATATACCCTAGGAAATGTCCTCAAGTAGCAAAACACCTAGATTTAAATCTTCCTCTGTTGGGTTACTGTGCTGGATTGAATGAGGCCTGTCTTGAAATGTCAACAAAACATTGAAAGAGTTTTGCCTTCTCATGGCCAAAAGAGTTGCCATAAGTCTGGAGGTAGGACAATGTAAGATAGGTTTCCTGCCACCTGGAGAAAGCTCAGTAATTCTAACTTGGATAGTGGAGGATTCCAAACAAATTTTGTTTCCCCTCCAGTAAATGGCCATGCTATTAAAATGGAAATACATTTTAACAACAGTTGGGTCCTGTTGGCCTTTTCAAAGCTCTGTGGACATTGTCAGTCCAATGAGCAATTTCTTCTATTAGAGCTGCCTACTGAAGTCACTCAGCTTAGGAATTACCCACAGTCAAATGCATGGGTTTATTTTTTTTAATACAGGTTAGCAACAATACTTTAACTCTTAATCTTAGTGGTGATGATAATCCTCAAAGGAAATGGTAATTGCAGGTGTAGACCACTTGGGAGGATTTCTATTTCAGATAGAGGATCCAAGTTGATCTACTGATGCTCTACAGGTATTGCGAAAAGCAGAGTCTATTCTTTTGTAAGCAAAATGGCAAGACTGTACCCCCATTTTCCCAATTTTCTTGAATGTTGGAGTATGAATATCTTATGTAAGGCTCTCCAAAAACTTACTAGCCCATTGCTGCTGAGTCAGCATATTTGGCTTGCAAGTTAAAAGGGCACAAAGAACTCACATTCAGTTATGTCGACTTTTGCTTTGGTATGTGGCTTAGAGACGTGCAAATGTGTTTGAGTCACTCACGTTTGACTCCATCATCCACTGAGATAGATGGTTTCATTTGAGTATTTAGGTATCCTTGGTTCCAGAATAAAAGCAAAGAGTATACAATCCACAGACATCCTCCTCAACTTTGGAAATAAAAATCCCAAATAATTTTTTAATAAAAAAATACAGTAAGTGGGATACTTCTGACTTCTGTATGCCCATTTGTGGCATGTGAGCATGTGATCAGATATGTGTGCATGAACATGTGTCTCAACTCTCTCTCTCTCTCTCTCTCTCTCTCTCTCTCTCTCTCTCTCTCTCTCTCACACACACACACACACACACACACACACACACTCAACATAAAAACAAAAAGATAGGCTGCTTCATCAAATTGAACTTTTCTTTCTTCTCCCCACCCTTGTGGCATTTGTCAACTGTGAGAACTAAAACGAGATGTACTTTTCTGCCAGAGGTTCACATTTATAGTAAAGAACAGAGGTGAGGACAGCCTTAAGTGGGAAACTGACAATCTAGCATTCTAAGGTATTGTTTAGAGGGGAGTAGCCTTGGGGAAGACATCAATTTTAGGAAGGAGGAAGAATTCAAAAGAGGCTCCCATCTTTGGTCTCATTATTTGTGTGAGATGTACATGGCAATGAGCTGCTCATCCCAATGGTTCATCTCACTGTTATATCTTTTTCAAACAGGAAGAAATCTCAGTACATGGCTAGATTTGGGGGTTTTTATAACTGACCCTGTTGCTGTGTTTTTTCTTTTCATTTGCACATCTCCTGGCCCATGTTCCCAGCTGAAAAAGAAGCAAGTGTATGTGGATAAGGTAGAGAAGATGCAGCAGGCCCTAGTGCAGCTCCAGGCAGCCTGTGAGAAACGCGAGCAGCTGGAGCATCGACTCCGGACACGTTTGGAGAGGGAACTGGAGTCCCTTAGAATCCAGCAGGTACTGAGTGACTTCCTGGGGATGGGCAGACATGATAGATGAGTGAAGAGATTCTGCCCAAGTGTATCTTAAAGAGCCATTATTATGCTTATTAGGGTGACTTACAGAAATCCTGGCAAGGGGCTATTACAGAAGTGTAGGTGACTCAAATGCAGCTGTAAAGCTTGGCCCAGCATGGGTGATGACTCACAATGGCTGACTCTCTAAAGATCCCTGTCCAACATTCAGGCTGCTCTACTAATCAGAATTTGTTTTCTCTCCAGCAATTGTTACTGTGTATATAACCTTGGGGAGGCGACTTCTGAATCTTGTGTTAGGTATCTCAATATTGCTTACTTCTTGAGGCTCATAAGTTTCATTTATTTCCTACCTACCAGGTATGGAATCAGGGAAAGGAAGAAAAGAAATGCCATTAGTCCTGCGTGTTTATGTTTTTTTAGTTGGTGCTTTGTGAAAACACTAAAGGCATTTAAATGCTTGCTTGTCTTTACATTTTCACTATCTCTCCATGTTACTGCCAAAGGCTTTGCAGGTATAAATACAAAGGCTACCTATTTCCTTAGCTTCCCATTCTAGCAAAATCCATCTTAGTATCTTACATCTTTTATTTTCATGTTGAACTGGTACAAGAGACCATATATGAAGTGAAACAGCTACACACCTACAGTCTTAGATGTTTGGGGATCTTGGGCAGATTTTCTGTTTTTTATTTTGAGACCAGTTCCCATGTAGTCCAGTCTGCCCTCCAGCTCAGTGTGTGCAGTTATACACCGCCACATCCAGCTGGAAGTGGTCCTTAGATATCTTCTGGTCATAGTACTTATTGGGTTTTGAGGAGAAAAAAATGAAGAACCGCACCCCCACAAAATGTTGCACAACTCACCAAAGAGCTCATAAATTAGGAACAGTTTGGCAATCAAATCATAGATTTAAATTTTTTCCATTTTCCATTTCCCTTGTGCACTTTTTATTTCATTAACCACATAGCAATTTGACAAGGTAGATTCTTGTTCTGATCAAGGGAGGTTCACATTGCAAGCTGTGGCAATCTGAATTCAACTTCCTTGTTTTGAGCCAGGATCCAAGCTAAGAGCTGAGGTTGGGATTGCTTAGTGATAGCACACTTTACCAGGGCTCACAGCACTAAAAAAGTATCTTCAGATAGCTTGAGGCCTGGAAATATGGTTCAGTGACAGAGTGCTGGCCTAGCATGCATAAACCTAGGTTCGATCTCTACCACTACACAAACAGGCAGACAGACAAACAAAATAGCTTGGGCAATCTCTTGTAAAAATGAAAACTCTTCAAATTGGATTTGGTAGGGGAGCTGT